AAAGATTCATAAAAATATATTGCAAAAAGTTCCCAGAATGATCATGACATTTCCAGATTAATTCATAGTATGTGGTGCACCAGACTAATACAGAAAAAATAATTTCTTACACTGAAAAAAGAATTGTTTCCTGCATATTTGCTGGAAATTTGCTGTAAATAGAACGCAAAAGTTAAACAAAAAAAAAACCAGACACCAGTTCTCTTAAAATAGAAATCAAACTATAGGGGTGACCAAGCCCTTCCATGACTTTTGTATTAGCCTCTCAGACAACAGCCGAATTAAACAGGATGATGATTATAAAGAAAAGTGAGATGAGTTGTTTAATTAGTGCAATTATTCTGCATGCATATGCACGTATATGCAAACACAGGTAGTGGGGTGGGCAGGTGTGTGCACATGTGCACTTACCTATACATTTCAGAAAAGGAACTGTTCTTTATCCACACAATGAAGAAAAGGCATCATTCTGAAGCATTAGATTAAAACTTCAGTATATTAAATGCATATATACCTCATGGAATATTCAACACAAGAAGCAAAAGTTTCAGTAGTTAGAAAACATGGAAGGATTTGGCAGTGGAAGATTTGGGAACATATGCCTAAGAGGCAGCCCAGTGGAAAGCACCATGACAAGCCGTGAAAAGAGAACAGAGAACAAGGTTGCCATCCTGATCAGGTTGAACAGATGACAAATAATGATATAAAGAACAAGATCCAAGGTCTAAGGCAGTTCAAGATTCTGAAATCCTGATGAGCGGGAAGCAAACTTGTTGGGAAAAGCAAGTAGGAGGAGACAAAAAACAAACAGACAACATGATTTGAGCAACAAACCAAGAAAATGATTTGACGAGCTGTAAGAGGAATCTCCAATAAAGCATGCCCTCCAAAGCCTAGATGCATTAATCTAGACATTATCATCACAAAAATGAATCATTGACTTCACTTCAACAGGAGACAACATACACAACTTGAAACACAGAACTTTAGAAGACAACATACAATACAACCTGACTGCCTGGATTATATTTTAGAGACAGCGTAAAATTGTCATTCAATTAAAATAAGGAACAATATATAACTAACCTCATTATGACTGCCATTTGTACTCAAAACCAAGAATATTTGTATTACGCACGGATGTAGCTTATCACGTTTCATAAAACTTAAAAGTTTCAAAAACCATTGATACTATTAGAAATAGTTTACCTGTAAAGCAGCCTTAAGCAGCATTTGAAGAAAAAACAAAGACTGTAAACACCACTGACAACAGCAATGACCATAATTCATGGTAACAAGTTGTTATTTCTATTGCCAATTAAAAGATAATTGCCCATGACTTACATCCTTCACCAAGCACCACTGTTCTTAACAGTAAAACCCTCAACTACTTCCCACTGCTGAAACTAGGCCTATCGAGCCCAAACAAATTAAAATTTGAACATCGATGTTAATTCTCAAGTTCCATCTCTTTCCCATTTCCCCTCTTTCTTCCCCTTCCTTGCCTGTAGTTAACTCCTGTCTGCCTTGAACCACAGCACATCAGCACTGCTCTAACGCCCATCATCGTGTCTGCTCAATTTCACAGTTATAGCAATCCTAATGCTTCCCACCAACTCCTGCAGGAATGACAGAATGAAGTGACAAAAACATTTTCAGCAAACAAAAATGTTACCTTTTCCCATTAACCTTGACTCCTACTAAGGCTACCTAAATTATAATCTTAGCATGTTTTCCATTCCTGAATTTATTTACTCATGAAATTTAGTTTACGTTAGGCTTTTTTTTTTTTTTTTTTAATTTATGCCACCTGAACAGATACAGAATGTATTTCAATGAGAGTAAGAAGTGTTGCATTACCTTTAAACTGGTATCTAATCCCTTTCAAAAGTACCTGCAGTATTAGCTCACTACCGGAGAGTTCAGTGGAAATATTTTTAACTTCTAGCATTATACCTGCAAAACCAATACTGATCTAGAGCTTCTGAAACATCCAAACAATAGAAGTCATTCCCCCCACAACATGAGTTATCTACATTTTTCTCAACAAGCAAAAATAAAAATTATTACACACACAAATCTTCCCCAAACAGCAATTTATGTTATCACTTTCATATTTGTGTACAGTTGAACACCATACATTAGACAGCCTTTACAAAAGTTTACTTTTGCTCTTTATATGCAATAGCAGCTGCCACACTACCTCAAATTGCTGCACTCACATTTGGCACAGTCCAGAAAGTGATACATATGACTGTAGGACTGTGCAGCATATACACCTCTTCTACAGACATACAGGAGGGGAAGATAGTAACTTTCACAACTATATTGAATCCAAGATGTAACAGGAATAAGAGTTCTAATGAAATGTTAAGAATCCCAGCATTCAAATAAATTCTACTGTTCTATTTGTGTTTCAGTCAAAACTAAACATAATATTCTGTTCTGTAATACAAAATGAATATCTGCAATCCAACCCTATGCTTAATGATGTGCAAGTCTATTTCTCTGCACTAAAGATACCATCCCTCACAGGTCCAATGCAGAGATGCACTGCTGGGGAGAGATGCTATAGATGCAAAAATGTGCGTGCAGTCTGCCTTTTACATTCTCTCAAGTACCTTTTGTTGAATAGTGGAGTGCTTTTGCTCCATATCTCTCTTCTCCTTTGCAGCATCTACAGCCAACTGATCCAGCTGTAAAGAGAAACAGAAAATTGGATCTTTAGATATCAAGAGAAATTTGGCTCAGTAGATTTCATAATGCTGACAAAAAAGAACACATTATGTCTAGACATTGCATGACTTTTGTTTTATTTGCATAGTATAATTACTTCTCTGGTCACAAAGTGTTTACCTTGAATAACCACTAAAGCCTCGTTTAAAGCACTGCACTACCATCCTGAATTAACCTCTACGAAACGTGTACATTTCTTGTAAGCCTTAGAAGAAATGTTTCAAAGAACAGCATGGTGCCAAGCATATGCGACTCTATACCGCATTGGTGCTCAGTCTCCGAAGAGAATGACTCATGCTTTAGCTGCTCTTGCTGGCTGACTGGCCTATGCAGCAGCACTGGCATTAGCAGCAAAAACTGGAAGGAGCGAACGGTAGTGATTTTTCTCCTCCACAAAGTCGGGGGGGGGACTGCCTCAACCAGGCTTTTGTATTGGTAGTTTTGATCTGGTCACCAGCAGTATCTAAGCAAGATTCCTTGAAATCTTAGGTAGAACCATTCAAACTGTTTCTAGTTTCAGAAATAACAACATGATTTTGCAAAGAAGAGAGACTGTCGCAACAAAGAGCATTTCAGTTAGCATCCTTACAAAGTCTGTGATAAAAAAAAAAAAAGACACTACCAGAAACTTGCTGCAAGCCTGTCTATAGCACTACCATATAAACTTTTTCCTTTCAAAACCAGAAGGAAAAACAAGGCAGGAAATTTAAGATATCCTGTAAAAGAGTAAGTTTGGTGGGTTTGGGTTTTTTGTTTGTTTGTTTGTTTGGCGTTTCTTTGGGGGGGGGGGGGGGGGGTTTTTTTGGGTTGTTTAAATAAGTGATATGGTGAAGTGGAGGAGCAGATGCTGCCTGAAAGACCAGTTAGCTTGGTAGTTATGTGACACGCTATGGAATCTGATGAACTCCTCCTTTATCCAGCCTGTAACCCAAGACCGCCATTAACCCCAGTCACAGCATCGTACTGAATAACGATGCAGATGCAATACTGAACACAGCAGTACAGCCCGCAGCTTTACATCTGCGGGAGAGACCGCCTTCTACTCCCGGCCTAGGAGGAGGAGACCGGGAACAGTGTGCAACACCAGTTTTCCAGCTGAAGTCAGTCACGTGGCAGAGGGCACAGTATGACTAACAGAACCTCTAATTCACACACGAATAGGATCACCTCCACCCACGCTCATAACCACAAGTGAGAACCCCTGCCAACTCTGGTCATTTTCCCCAGTGTTGTATTTCCCCTGCTTGAAACGATATAAACAAGAGAAAAAAGGGACAATAACTGGCTCTTACACCCTTGTGTTAGACAGTCTCCAACAACTAAGGAGCCATCTGATAGCTGGGACATCTGGATCCAATTCCATACTCTGTTACTTTTCTTAACTCTTCTCTCCCTGGCTGCTTCTCTGGCTCAAATGGCTATACCAGCACTTTCACACATTACAGGTGTTTGTGAACATGAGTATGTTAAAGACTGAAGTGTCCAGACATCATATTTACGTAGCTATAGGACTTAAAAATGATAAAAGAGCCTCTAAAACAGAGGCTGGGCTGCCATTGTGCTCAAATACTGTTTTGCACCAAGAACTCTGGGAAACCTGTTCTTTTGTGATAAAGATGAGAACTGGTCCAGGGGCTGTTCAAGACTTTATAGGAGTCAAGTTTCTTGCTAAAACCTCAGACTCAGGAATCTGCACATGGCCCCCAAGACATTCTTACTCCGACCCTGCTGGATGAAAATAGCCATGTTCAGATTAGGGCAATTGCCTCTAATTTATCTTAAATACAAGAGTTTCGAGGATACATTTACCACAGCATCAGTGCCAAAACAAAAGTTCTTAACAGCAGCTCATTTCATCATTTACTTTTTTACTATCAAGACAGCATTGCATCATCCCAGTTTCCAAGCTCAGACCAGAATTTCTTCTTTTCACTCAGGTGAGCAGCACATCAACTGTCTTAAAAAAAAAAACCAAAAGCATACAACTATCAAGAGCTGTGGCCAACCACACAACTAAACTATCAAAATCCCAGTCATTATACCACTAGTGGGTAGTCTTCAAAAAAATTAGGTTTTTCAAAATACTGCATTTACTGGTAAACGTATTTTTATAAACATACGAGTGGTATTCTGTAGAGAACGAAGGCTAAAGTGTTTAGCTTTTTGAATAGTCATCCCAGAATGAAAATTCAAGTAGGTTTTCTTTTTAAACTAATACCACATTTCACATAAAAAGTGCCAAATACCATAATTTCCATGCAAAAGCTTATATTACACTTGTGTGCCATTAAAGATTCCCCTAGAACAATCTGAGTCACAAGTAATCCTACCCTGACCTAAAATATCCAGAAAGCAAAACTGCTCAATCCTATTCTGTCATGTAAACCAGTTATTTTGAAAATGCAAAACAAAAGAATTAAAAATTATAACTATACTACTTAAGACCACTTCAATTTTAATACTTCAGGTGTTGTTAAACCTTGTAATTAAGATCATACACAAAATTTACCTGGGAATAAAGACTCACTTACCAACAGAGAGAATCTCACAGTATTTTCAGAAAAATCTAGTAAATCCCTGTTTTGTTATGTCACAACATACCTTCTCTCTGACCTGTTAAAGGCAGAAGCTTCAACCAATAGAAACTGCAAAGCCATTAACTGTTAAACTTTCATAAGCTATTTACAAGTCTGCTTCTGTCATGAAAAATATCCATTACTTAAAGCCAAGGTCTGTCACAAAAGAGTAATTCAGCAAGTTGTACAACTTTAGGGTCTTCAGTCTATCTTTCCTCCAATTGCAATATATTTTAAACATCCTCAGCTTCTGATTTTCTAAATTTAACTCCTTCAGTTGCTATGATACCAGCACCAAAATGAATGTTACACAATGCTCCTTACCAGATCAAGCAAAAGGATGACCAGCCACTCAAAAATAATCTTGTGTTCCTTGCTCAAATAATCTCAGTGAAATGCAAACATTAAAGCCTAGCTGGTAACATAAACCACTACCAACTCCATAGTTTTTTGTCTCCTTTCCCTATCCCTTCTTCCGCAGAGGTACAGGACACACATTCTATACTATCAAAACACTGCAGTTCAACAATTACAACACAAAATGGAAATATGTGAAAGAATAAATGCACAGCTAAGGACAGAGTCACGTGCACCTGAACCTTTCAAGCGCCACTATTACACCAAAGACGGAGGGCTGTAGCTGTACAGTCACTTCCCTCCTTGATGGCAGTGCCAGCTCAAGCAGCCTCTCTTCTCAGCTCCATCACTTGCCCTCCACACACACGCACACACACAAGCACACTTTCCTGATGTGTGTTTGTACAAGTAATTAAGACCCACAGTAACCTGACTGGGGACTAGTCTAGCAGAAAAAATAACTATTTATAGATATTTGATTGTTAGAGTTATTTTCTACAGTTCCCAATCTGCTTCACTGCACAGACACAGAAGCAGGTTGAGGGGCACAGTTGACAACAGTGCTGTGGCAGAAATAACCAGCTCAGAACAATGTCATTTCTTAGACATTCAATGACACATCTACTTGAGATGAATGCAAATAAATGTTTGCTGTCATTTATTTGCTTTTGCATATGGATAGACACTCAGAATTTGGTTTGGCTTTGTTCTGCGTATCAGGTTGGGAAGCGGCAATAGAGGGTTTTGCATTGGTGCAGTTGTTGCAAGTCCTCAGATAGAGGCAAAAGAAAAAAAAAAAGTGGTGTATAAGTATTTCCAGGCCCATTCAACTTGCACTGAAAACAAGTCAAGACACTGCTGAGTCTTCTTCCTGCACCACCAACAGATCTTCAGTTGAATATTGTATGTTCTTTATCTATTTTGCATAACCATTTTCAATGTCTCTTGTGTGCAGTTGGCTGTGGTCCATCTAACCTTTTCATGAGTCCCTCACTGAAAACCCAGAAGTCGCAATTGTGTGTTCTTAAATTTAAACAACAAAATTGGGCAAGAAGGATTCAATGTATGAACTCAGTTTTGCACCACTTACTAAAATCAGACTTCTGTTTTATGGTCTAAGTTGCTAACATCAATTTTATTTTTGGCACACTGCATAATTTATACAGTAAATAATGCATACAAGTGGAAGAAAAAAAACCTGCTTTTTATTGTTAAATATATTTATAACATGGGTCATATACAAAAGTTTTTAAAACAAAATAATCCACTGTCCTGAATACCATAGACTACCTCAAACGGCACTACATGGCTAGGTTTAAGTATATAAATCCTAAAGGTAGTATTAATTTTAGTGAACAGACAACTTTCAGTTTCTAACCATTTTCATTCAAACCACTTACAGTGTATTTTTATATGCTTTGCCTTTATCACACTACAGGTCCCTTTTTGTTGAATAAGTCTATGATGTACCTGATATGTATGCATATATCAAGTTTTCATCCATTCCAGCACATAGTTAGGAATTTTTAAAGTAATTTTTTACCTGTGCACCAAGATCTTTCATGTAGGGCTCAAGTTCACTAAAAAGATCATAGCCTTGATGGAAAAAAGCCAGATGGGCATACATAAATGATAACATCTAGAAGGAAAAAAAGTATATTTTTAGAAAGGATAAATATTTATCAGATATCACATAAATACATCACTTCACTAATCCACATGAACAAACTTAAAGTACAATTCCAGGGTTAATTTCTGGTCTCTTGTGTCCTGGCAATTTTACATCAATATCTCATAGAGCTTCCAATGTTGTAAACAAACATGGAAGATAAAGGCAGCAAAGAAGCAAGCCAAAAAGCTCAGAAATTAGTTAATAGGATTAACCCCATTAACAAAATGGAACAGTCTACTTAAGGGCAGAAAATTACTTCTAATTCATGTCACCTGAAACTTCTGTCATCTCCTGTTTAACCATGACATGTAAATTAAAGAGGGGCTACAGAATATATTTATTAATGATCCAAAACCATAACCTTTATGAACATAGCTGAGAAGACTGTCCAGTCTTACAAAACCAAACAAGTTGGGAAGATGCAGAGCAGAATGGCAAGCAGCTATAAAGCTGTGATCCAACTAAAGGTTTTGCTACTTAAAGGAATTAAGGAAATTATGGGAGTGCAACTTCAGACCTTTGAAAGAAAAGTACCATTTACTTTAGCAGTCTCTACCTCAGTAAACTTTTTACAGAGACAATATGAAGCAGAAAAGGGAATACAATCAGAAGAAACTAGCATGCAGATATAGCTGTATATTAATTTAGCAGATACCATACTAAAGCATATTGTTTATTTGCTATTACAATATGCTATTTACAGGAGAAATACCATTTTTGTAGAAAGAGCTGAATCCATCTTAGAATAGACTATAAGAAGTACTTATTGTTTATAAATAAATATAGCAGACCTATACAGCAGAATTCTTGGCAGACAAAGTTAGATTTTAACCATGAAACACATACCAAAGAGTCAACAGCAGTGAAAACCTTAAAGTGTTCAAATCTGAACCAAAAGGATTGCCAAAACCAGTTAAGCGTCTGTGCCCAGTTATAGTAAAGGCCAAACTGACTGTCACCAAATGCCAAATGTACTGGTGATGTTTTGATGGGTAAAAGGACTAAGTTTTTAATACACTGCTTTGCAGGTATATTTTTAATTTCAGATGTATTTAAATATCTTCCATACAGAAAATAAAGTATATCTTACCGATTTTAAGATTTCTGCTCTCCTTTTAGACTGAAGAACATTGATCTAGGGGAAAAAGAAAAAAAAAAATACAAGAAACTTATTTTATTCTACTTGCAAATTTTCCCCACAGAAGTAAACTTCAAATCACTTCCAAATAACATCAAAGCTTAAAACACTGGAAGAACATCACTCAGTATCAGACTTCACAAAGCACTTTCAAAAGATGCATGCTAGTTTTGTCACGATATTGAAGTGATGCAATCAGAAAAAGCTTGCAAAGACAGAATTTCACAGTGATAGTCACAACTTGCTTATATTAGAAGGGGAAAACTTATAAGACATAAGAAGTAATATAATAGACCTTTCAAGCAAGGAAAATTGGTACCCATTTTCAAGAGATTGAATTCAACATGTTTCAAATACCCTTTCTGACAGTATGAGCTAACCCAGCCCACCAACTTCTTCAAGAAGCTGCACTCAGCACCACTGCCACCTCCTGCCAGGGGAGACGAAAGGACAGGGCAGCCCCTCAGGCTGACATTGTCTAAAGTGTCCCAAACCTGGGATATAGCCCCAGCCTCTGAAACAAGCAAGAGCATAATAGCCTCAAGAAGTAATTTTTCATATATACTTGCAGTTTTAAGCTATCTGAAGTTACTGACCAGTGGTATTGCCTTAGAACTTGAAGAATTTCATGTTATATAGACAAAATAATTGATTTCTCCCATTCACCTATAGTTCCTCTATTCTCTTTGTCCCCTAATCTTTAAGGTTGTCATCCAGAACTACAGATTTACTTTAAAAGCCCCATTCAGGAGAAACATGCATAATTTTGTAATTTAACACCTCTATGTCAGTTTAAAATTCCAGCAAAAGAAATAAACTTACTGAAGCTATAATCAAAACCAGATTGTACTTCTATACTTAAATTGTCAGTATTTTGGAAAACCTTCTGCAGCAAAAATAATTAAGATTTGTTTGTATAGAACAAACCTACAACTTGCAAGGTTTTGAAATACAGTTTAAAGCCAATATAGCTACAAAGAGACCATAGTTGTGAAGTCACTTTTCCAGAATAAGAGAGTCACCCAAGTAGAAAAAATTCCCAAAGCTGAACTTGTTTTTTGCCCACATTAATTAAGAGAAGCCGAAACTTTTTCCTGTTACTTTAAATGCATCTTTATCACAGGAACTGCTCATACTTTGAACATACGAATTGCAGGAGGCAAGCTATCTGCAGTTTAAGGCACACACAAGGAACTGGCCTATAGTAACGACTGCCAGCTTCCCCCCCCCCCACTACTATTTGATGTTAGTACAAATAATCAAGTAGTACATAATTTGCATGACTTTTTAAACATCAAAATGAACTTCGTCCTTTGTGTTCAAAAGGCAGGAGTTCAGTGTTGATCACGGACCACCATGTCTGTGCAGGTGCCCGGGCTGATCCAATCGATTCCATTTGACTTTACAGGTAATACGTGCAACTCAAAGAACAGTTTAAGCTTTAAATAACTGACTGGACTGTCACAAATCAAGATGATAACATCCAATAAAAAACTAACATAATTTTAAAGGGCTGTTCTGTGTTTGATCATAGAAGAACCCCAGACCCATTAAGGAGCCCCCATCCCCTCATACCATCCGAGTCGCAATAATCCTGTTCTGCTGTAGTTGTGGGTAACTATGAAACAGATGAATTGTAAGTATCAGCAGAAAATTTATTATTATTTCACAGGATTCAAAGTAGTAGGACAAAGAACACCTCTCAACACTCTATAGGAGATCTGCACTAAAAAGCAAAAGAGTAGTTGTGTTCTTGATTTCCCCTATGGCACAATGCCAGACTTCAAGGCTTCTAGACAAGTAGGATTTGTTAAATAAAACCCAAAGCAAATGGCTGAAACTGCAGTAGTAGTCAACATCCTATATCAGAATCATTCAGGTATTTTGTATTTCCTAGGCTAGGTTACAGTTTTTACTTCAAATACATAAGGAACTACAGCATAGCCAACTCACAAAATACATTTAGGTAAGTATTAGGCAAATACTGTTTTTTCAAAATGAATGTTCAAGTTGAAAACTAAACTGTGTCATTACAGCAACAGCACCAAATACCAAAGCATTAAGCAATAAGAATGCATCAAGTAAATTAATTTTGCTCAGATTTCATTAAAAAAAGAAATTACTTGCAGACAAAGTTCTTCCTTTTTCACTGAATCACCACAGCTTCTGAGAAGCTTACAGTAAGAACTTCTAAAGGACAGATCTCTAACTATATGTAACAGAGCTTTTTGAAAAATAACTTTTATTCTTGCACTTACCTGAAGAACATAATCCAGAGCTATGTGTCGAAAACATTTCCGTGTTGCAGTCAAAATATTGGTTGCTTCCTCTACTTCATGTTGCTTATTTCTTTGAACTTGGGCATTTTTTACTAGAGCATTCTCTTTTTCTTCACTAACTTTTTCAAACTGTTTCTTTGCATCTTTAAATTTCCTAATATCGCTAAAGAAAAAGGAAAGATAGATAACAAATGAATTCCAAAGCATGAAAAAGTGTTTAAAGATACACTAGACAGACCATGCTCATGACTGTTACAGCTAGTTTCTTTGTTTTCATATTCTTCAATAAACGCTTGGATCAAATGGAAATCCTACAAAGTATGATAGAAGCTTCTCTGTGTTTCTCTTCTGAGAAAAGGACAAAATTGAAATTTAAATAAATGCATCTCATGCTTACTGGGGAAAAGCTTTGGTAAGCACTTTTTTCCCCTAAGCTTAAGACAATGACAACATGTAATTAAGATCAGTAATTCATACTATTTCAACATTTCTGCAGCTGGATCTAAAGCCTCACTGATTTGGCGTGATTTTTGACAAGCTTCAATACACACTTTTCAATTTATTGCTGGCAATTTTCAGGAAAGATGTTTCACCAACCCAGCCAAATCAGATGTTTTTAAATTTTATTTTACCTATAATTTTCCCATTACAAGTGCAAATTAACTTACTCTTTAACGAAAGTCTGAAGCTGTGCTTTAATTGATCTTTGGGTTTGGTCAAACAGGATCTGAAAGAAAAGGATTATGTAGGTCAATAACTTAAGGGTATTCATAACTTTTCATTTTAGACATACGCATGATTATTATGCAGAATTAGATCAGAATTATTATTAAACCAACGTGTCCCTAATATCAAAATATAAACCCCCTCAAAAGCACTTTTGAAATAAATAAAAAATAAGTAAGGAATAAAATAAGGAAAATAACACAAACCCAACACCTTTTGCTGGTCTTTTCTTAAAGACTGTGGTTATAAGTAGAGACAAGAGCTCCTGGCATCTTATTCTCTCATCCCGACAATGTAAGACATGCCCACTTTCATAGAACGTGTTTATTACGATTATTATAAACAGTCAAGAATATGACTGCACAAAGACCCTTGAAGAAACAACTTCGAATGTTAAGTAACAATTTTTTTTATTATTAGACTTTCACAATTTAACCAACAACTAAGACAAATGAAACCATAGAAAGAACAGGCCCTCAGCTTCTGGCAAAAAAAACACAGACTGAAATTAATGCTGAAAATGTAACATACATGAGTAATTAGTACCATCTCCTTTACATAACACATTTGTAAAAAAATACCCACTGTTGAACTGCTAAGAAGAATGGCTGCTTCTTTTTCTAAGATTAATTGTTCTAAGCCATGCTTCTCAAACTTCTTATGATTTGGGGAGGCTGGAGGGGAGGGGGAGGAGCAGAATATAATCTACTCATTCAAATTGTAAAGCATGAGAAATTCATTACATTTCCAAGGCCAAAGCATACCTGAACGTTAGACAACTTGTATTTTCTCTTATGACCCCAGAAATTGTAACTGAGGAATGAAAGTGCACATTCCTTCAGCTTCACATCTGCCCTCTGAGTTTTAGGACAGAGTGGAACAGGTCCATGGCTATGGGACAAATCCTTTTGCCACTTATCACTGTGCAGACCACAAATGATGCCTTAATTTCCAACTCCTCTACACCTCCCATTCTGCATTACAGAATATACAAGGCACAATCACAACAAAGAGGTGAAAGAATATATAGAATAGTAGTTGACCCAACTGAACAGAATGTCTTCCAAGATCTTTAAGCATTAAATAATTTTATTGAAGGAGCAAGTCAAGAACTCAAAGTTTCAGGTCAAACAAATGTTTTCTTTAAACGTTCTCAGTCTTAATTTCCCCATTTACAAAATTTGGGAATGAAAAGCCATGCAGTGCCGAGTAGTGACAGCAAAACCCTTACCAGCTTGTTTCTCTTTTCCAGAAACACTGAAGAAAGGAAAACATGACTGAGTTTAAGTCACCCATTAACAGTGGTACTATATCCTCCATCCAGTCTCCATTTTTGGAGGTTTTCAAGACCAAGTGGGATAAAACCCTAAGCAACCTTCTCCAACCTCAGAGCTGACCCTGATTTAGGCAGGCAGTTGAACCAGACATCTCCTGAGGCCCCTTCCAAGCTGAATTGTCCTATATCTAACAGTAACACATGGAAGATCCGGTTTGTATTCCTGCTTTGGGAAACCAGAAAAACAGACAACTTGAATAGATAAAGAACTTCTTGACAAGCTGGAAGTCATGCTGGGACTACTCCCACTGCTGACATTTAAGCTTGCCAGTGCCTGAGGAGTGCACCAATCGAGATCAATACAGAAAGAGTATAACCAGATGGAAACTCAACTGATTAGTGGACTCCCAGAAATATAAGCCTTGCAATTCTGCTTACAGTAATGAAGAGGAAAAAAGTGCTAGGGAGAAAAATTCAGACACATTTTTTCACTAAAAGAACAGAAGAAAGTGCCCAGACCATGATCCGACTAGATTTACAGCCTTTCCAACACATTACCTTTCACACACTCCAAACCAAGTCTAAGAAAGCTGCTATTTGCCACAAGCTGTCAAAGCTACTCCCCCACTGCTGAATCAGAAGATGCTGCATTAGTCTGGTTCCTAGCCTTATTTGTAGCAAAGCCTCATATGAGAAAACTGACAGTCATCCAGATCTCAGTGGGACCATCTCCTACCCCTTCCCTCCTTCCTCTGGAGGATGCCTGCCTCTCCTCTTTCTTCCTCTAGCTTCTTCTCACTCATGATGGCTCTCCTGCCAACTTGGTCAACCACAGAGCTGACACTCCAAGCTAGTAAGTCCTGCTG